GAGCCAACTATTGATTACAGAAAGTAAGGGCAAACTTAGGATAAATCATGCATGCTGCCTTAAATTTTCAATAATCTGATTTGTTCTATATTGTCCATGATAGTAGACAAAACATGACTAAAAATTTATACTTACAATATGTGTGTAATTTTTATTATTGCCTCATTATGATAGGAATATCAGCACTAAAAAGCACCCCGTTTTTGTCCATTTCTCCCAAATGAAAACCAATATGACATGAAGCAGTTTTTTGTCTTCATCTTGTAGACTACACATTATGCTTTGACATTAAATGCTAGAAAAATAGCATATTTTGTTACATAATTTGTTTTCTCAAATAGTAGGCACCTCATCCCAAGGCCACTAGGAAAATAGGTGGTATGTATAATAATGTGAGTAGAAAGTTGAAAAGTGAAGAAGAGTGTAGCCCTTAAATATGCTTAATTTATTTGGGGGGTTAAGAGTTCAGACTGGAAATATCTTACTCTGTTTATAGCCATAGTGTGTGTCTCTATGCAGACACTTCCTTTCAAAGAATCAACAGCAGAATTCTCTGGGTTTGGGGGTGGATGGAGAGATATGCTTGGGAAAATTCATGCCACCTATAAGCAGAAGCTCCCAGGAGCTGTTTTAGAGTGGACTGGGGCACTCCAAATTTCTCCCCAAAATGGGATGTATGTGTGTATCTTTGCATGTGTAAATCCACTTGTGTGAATTCCCTTAAAAGTCAAATAGGAAATAAAGTACATATAGGCTACATATATAGACTCATAAGGTAACAATTATTTTCCACTTGATCTTTTTGTGTATACTATTGCATTAGAGCTTTATATGAACCCTTTGAAGTAAGTTATATTATTAAAAATCTCCCTCACTTTTGAGTTCCATTCTTCCCCATCTAAAAACACACAAACAAAAAACCCCATCAAAAATAAACTCACTACACTCACTCCTCAAAGAACTGCTTTTCTCACTTGCAACTGCTACTCCCATGTCTCTAAAGGTTCAACTAACTTTTTGTGACATGTAAAGCTATCATCAATCCATTACTGCATCAGTTAGTTTTTGCTGTGTAACAAACCACCCCAGATTTTAGTGACTTAAAACAACAATCACTTATTAGTGCACAGTTCTATGGGGTCAGCAGTTTGGGTTGAGCTCAGCTGGGTGGGTGGAGGGGCTTCACCAGGATTACCTCATGACGCTGCACTCCGCTAGCAAGTCAGCTTAAGTCTGGTTATTGTCGACCGGCTTCAGGTACATCACTCGCGTGTCTGGCAGTGGTTCTAGCTATTGATTAATTCTGGCTGTCAGCTGGAGTGATGGGTTTGATGTCTCCAGCAAATTAGCCCAGGCTTGGCCACATGGTGGCCGTCTCAGGGTTTCCAGCATCAGCAAGAGAAGTGAAGCCCCAGTGCATAAATCCTTTTCAAGCCTCTGCTTGCATGTTTGCTAATAACCAAGTTCGGAGTCAGCATAGGAGGGGATTGCCCAAAGGCATGGATGTAGGACGCCCGAATCATTGGGGACCAATACTTCAAAAAATCCATAACAATCACTATATATGCATCCTCAATATGTTCTTGAATCCCTGCTTTCTTTTTGCCTTCGTTGCCATCGCCCTAGTTCAAGCCTCCATTTTACCACCTGGTCTTCCTATCCTCCCTTCTCCACAATCCACTCTTTCTTTGTGACATTTTTCTTCCTGAAATCCCTCAATGATTTGTTATTGTGCATTATAATAAAGTATACGTTTCTTAGCTTTAACAAGCCCCTCAAGACCCTACCTTCACTCATGATCCCACATGTCCCATGATGGTCCTTATCATTCAACCTCACCCAACTGCTGACTTTTCCAACCAGCCATGCTCTTTCTTGCCTCCGTTCTTCTGTACATTCTATTCCTTTTGTCTCCCACCCTTGGGTGCCTACCAAGCCCTCAAGGCTGGTTCAACAGCTACATTCTCTGTGACGCCTTCTGCCTGCCCGCCTTGGACCCAGGCTGCCCTTGCCCGTGCTGGTCACTCTTGCCTCTTTGCTCCTAGGGCACTTTGTGCCTACCCCCATTATGGCATTTACCATGCTGGATTCTCATATATCTTCCTCCTCAGCTAGACTGAGAGTGTTGAAGGGAGGGAACCCTGTCTTACTCATTTTTTCAATTCCCAGGTCATGATAATTTATTTTTGGTTGAATAAAGGAAAGGGTGGAGGGCTGACACCGCTTTCCATTCATTTTTGTAACCAGTATTTAATTTTTAAAAATGTATTGATTTTAGAGAGAGAGAGAGAGAGGGAGGGGGAGAAACACAGATCTGTTGTTCTGCTCATCTGTGCATTCATTAGCTGACTTGCGTGCGCCCTGACGGGGGAATGAACCCACAACCCTGGCATATCAGGACAACACTCCAACCACCTGAGCTACTCGGCCAGGGCCTGTAACAAATATTTACTACGTATCTACTATGTACCAGCTGCTGTTTAATGTATATATTTAATATTTAATTTAATTTGCAAGTTATACTCTTGCTATTTACTACATGTATTTATTATGACTCTATATAAGAAGCAGTCCTCAAGTATACATAAAGCAATACATTATTTACTTTTGCACATGGATTAATGTAATCTATTTTCTTTCTTCACTATTGCAAACATACAATTAGCTTTATATTAATCTGGAAAAGATCATTAAACTATCTTTTATTGGAAATGGAGAGAGAGGTAAGTGGTTATTTATATGTGAAAGACAAAGGTTCCTGGAGACACTGGATATCAAAGTTGAACAAAATAACTTTCAATAAAAAGTAGAGTGACTTTAACTAGAGAAGTGAACATTAACATTTTAAATGTATGCTCTCTGTTTTTAACATTAACATTGTAGTAATAAAAACATATTTCCCACCCTAGCCAGTTTGGCTCAGTGGTTAGAATGTTGGCCCTCGGACTGATGGGTCCAAGATTCGATTCTGGCCAAGGGCATGTACCTCAGTTGCAGGCTCGACCCCTGGCCCTGGTGGAGGTACATGAGGGAGGTAACCAATTGGTGTTTCTCACATCGATGTTTCTCTCTCTCTCTCCCTTCCACTCTCTCTGAAAAGCAATGGAAAAAATATCCTCAGTTGAGGATTAAAAAACCCCCACATATTTTCCTAGCTTTAAGCTATCTTATGTGTACATTTGCAATCTTAGAATTATGTAAATATCTTCTATTTACAAACAATTATACATCAAATTTTACTAAAGATAAAAAACTTACTCTCCATCCAAAATTTTATTTTGAAACAATTTTAACCTAGAGAAAAACAAAGAGAGTAATGTAATAAGCACCTACGTACTCTCTCTCCTGGCAGTTTTACTTTTCTAAACAGCATATCAAACAGCAAATAAACATATTGGCATCAACCACTCATTGGGATTTATAGTATGGAAAGGATTAAGGAAAGAAGAGTATCTCATCACAGCCCTAAGAAAATCTAATGAAATGTCTAGACACTTGAGTGGGTCTCAGGAGCACTCTCAATAGAAACACTTCTGGTTTAGGGCTGATTTACTGGCTAATCTCTTCACCTTTTTGAGTACTGATTTAACCGCTTCACCTGCTACAGATCTATTTAATTTCTATTTCTAAGTAGAAGCACATAGAACTTACATGTTATTTTGTTAGGCAAATGGTTTACTTAAAATTAAGGCAGAAGTTCAGTGTGTGCCTTAAATTATCTTGGTTTGTTTCCATTGATCAATTCAACTGGATAATTGCCAGATACTCACTTTCTGTCAGTAACACACACACACACACACACACGTGCGCGGGCGCGCAACCTGGATATCAAGTGATCAGTTATTGAGTTATTTTAAAAATTTCAAAAATAAATCCCAGTATTTTCCTAATGTCTCTCTTCTGATTATGTGATATAATTGGGTAGACTTTTAGTGTACACACAGTTAATAACTGGAATTCCCTTTATAGAATGAGCCAGAAATGTCTCTTGTAAAGTGGGAACATTCTAAACTTGATATTGTAGATCTAAGCCCCATGGACTGAGAAAGCTCTGAGGCCCTTGGGGGACTGGGTAGAGGAGACTGCTCTGCAGGGTTGTCCCTGGGGCAGGGATGGCCTCAGAGCTTTGGGTGCATGGATGGGTTGCCCAGCTGCTGGAAGTGCCAGGTAAGGAGAAAGCCATTGACAGAGAGGTAATGCCTTTCTCAAGTGGTGCTAAAAATGGGAAAGGTTTAAATACACCCATAGCCCAGCCAGCATGGCTCAGTGGAGGAGCATCGACCTATGACCCAGGAGACTGAGTTTAGATCCCCAGTCAGGGCACATGCCCCGGCTTCGGGATCCGATCCCCAGCAGGCAGCATGCAGGAGGCAGCCGATCAATGACTCTCATCGCTGATGTTTCTGTCTCTCTCCCTCTCCTTTCCTCTCTCTAAATCAATAAAAATATATTAAAAACAAATAAACACACCCATAATCTTGGCTGCTTAGGCCAGGTGATGCTCTCGGCTCTATTACTTCTCCCCGTAACGCACCCTTCAGCCCTCTACCACCTCGGGGTCCATTGTTTTTTTCCATGCTAAATGTTGATGTAACGTAGTAGCATTAAGGTCAAGTTCAGGGGCGACTTCTCCTTCTAATACTCCAAGAGAGCATGACAGGCTGTGGGCTGTGGTGAGGAAATGTGAACCAAAACGGGATCCTTGCCCTTTCCGTTAGTGCTAGGCTGGACGGTAAGTGCAGGGCCTCTTTGTCCTGAGAACAAACGGCGGCGTGAAAGGCCATGTGGCAGTCAGGCCCCAGCCGCCCCAGATCTCCACTGATTTCTCCGTCCTGAAGACAGCACGCGTTATCGTTTTGAACGCATGTGACTTCCTCCCGAGTTGGGACTGGAAGTGAACGATGTGTTGCGATTTCATTTTCACTTTACCAATGGCCACTGCACTACCCAGGGGTATGAGATGGGGAGGGATCCGCAGTTTAAATCACTAAATACCGCCAATGGGCGCGAGCGCGTCTTCTCCTCCACGCTCAGGCCGGAGCCTCGGGGAAAGCGAGGCCGGGACTCTGAGCCCCGCGCACCGGCCGGAGCGCAGTCTGGACGCGCGACGCGACGTGTCGGTCCCCAAGCGGCGGAGAGGAGCTCTCGGCCCCGCGCCGCGCCCTGGAGCAGACCGGCC